TCTCTCCCTCTCTCCCCGTCTCTCTCTCTATCTTCCTGCTCCCTTCGAAAAAAAAGCATAATGATAGAAATGAATCAGCAAATTATTTTTGAATATATCTGTTTTCATTGATTTTTTTCTTTAATTTCTTTTTTTTCTTTTAAATTAGCAACGAAAGTTTACAGCATATTTTTGCATATTTTCAAAAATCTTCCCTCTTATAGTATTTTTAAAAAATTGGAATTAATTTGTCATTTTTATTTTTTTCTTTGCTTTCAAATGATTCAATAGCTATCGAAGAAAAGAAAGTTTCATTTTTCGCTTCATTTTCATACATTCCTAATAGAAATAATGAATTAAAATGATAATGATAATGATAATAATGTTTAGGAATGAATGCTATCTTTATCATTTATTATTGTCACATAGATTCTAATATGATATCAGTTTATACTCTTAAAATAACATTTCATTTTCATTTTTGTAAATAATAATTCAGAATTCGTATACAAAGAAGTGGGGAAAAAATTCATCATTAATTAGGGTAATTAAGTAAATCAATTTCGTTGATAAAATTATCCGATTTATTTTTGAAAACAATATCTTTGATGCTTCATCCAATAATTTATACCTAATCAAATCATATGTTTTATTCATACCTAATCAAATCTTAGTTTTCAGTTTTATTTAAATTTAAATTAATTCTATTCTTCCTTTTTTTCTTTAAAAAAAAGGAATGACATGTTTGAAATAATCAATCTTTTTTTTTCCAAACTTTCCTCCAAACACTCGACAAATTTATAAAATTGAAAAAACAATCCATATAAAAAGTAATTGCTAAGTAAATATCAAAAAAATAAAACTACATACTTAGCCTAAGCCTGATATATAGCACCTATTACCAAAACTCACCGCTATTATTAAATACATAAAAGTAATAAATAAAACATGTAAAGTAAGCATAACATTACTTTAAGTGATAATACATGATAGAAAAGAAGGGCGAAAAATTAGATATCACTGATTTAAGGTTGGAAAAGTATATCAGGAAAAGAAAATAGAAAAGAGGATGTAGAAACGATTGGGGAAAAAATAAATAAATGATAAAAAAATGATCATACAGGAAGAATAATGTGATAGTTGTATGTATCAGATCATATATGATCATTAATTGTCCCATTAAAATTGAGCCATTAGTTTAAAATTTCCTTGTCACCTAATTAAATGATATTATCCGTGTTATCATTAACAGTATCTATCGTTGTAATTGTAATTGTGGTTGGTTGTAATGTGAATATGTGCTATTTCTATTTCTTCGTTTTAAATAACGTGTGAATTTCAACAATCATTTAATAATCAATATTATAGATATCCTCTACAGAATGAAGTCTATGTTTTCATTTGTCTTCATTATTATTACTAATTAAATTTTAAAATTAAAAGTGTGACAAATGATACATTTTGATTATAATGATAAAAGTAATTTAATTATCTTACTGATTGTTCAATTTTATTAGGAATTGAAACTGCATGGAAAATCAAAATACCAATGGGGATTGATTAAATTCTTGTAACAAAAAAATAAGAAATTAATCATCAAAATATCTATAAGTTCCATCTTATGAATATATTAATCGACTTTAAATGTAATTATATAGATGGATATGAATAATTCTCTACGCTGATAACAATCGACACAGAGATAGTGCTAATGATAAGCAACAATTGTGATAATGATAAAAAAGATATTGTTGGAAATATTGACAAAATCCACGACTGAATATTTTAAGTCGAGGAATAGAGGATTATCTATTTTATGAGTAGAAAAAAAAAAACGGGGATTTGTTTTGAAAAGATCATTTCGATGATCAATGGATTGTATAATAATTTACAAAATCCACAAAATTTCTGAATTGAATCAATTAATGAGTCATGCGAAAAAAGTTGAAAAAACTTGATGAATGAATTGGTTAGATTTAGTTTTTAAGAAACACAACACTTATTTCCCTTTTTTTTGAAATAACTAACGGAAGTATAGAATCAACTAAATGATATATATCTTCTGTAGAGTTCTGAACTTTTTTGAAAATTTGAATTGTTTTAAAATTCTGTAAATGAATAAAATCTAAATTCATGAAATGTCTATCATATAATGCTTATTTTTTTATTATATCAAAATATGCGGCTGGAAAGAAATCAGCAAAAAAGAGTTATGAATTATGGAATCCGAATCTTAGGAAACCCAGCTTTTATTATTTCTCAGTTATTAAACAGTATTACATTTAAAGAGTTTAATAAATTTAACAATTAAACATCTTGCAATTAAAGCATTCATAATTAATTATATATCGAATTGATTGAAGCTTCCGATCATTTTCAATTTGGCTATAAAAAATTTCGTTATGAGTTGCATTTAGCATGATGAAGTGCAAAATGTTAAATAATATAGACATGCAATAATCAAACTAGTCACCATAATTTAATCGTAAATTGCTCTATGTCTCTTAATCATCCAAAATTATTGATATATAAGACTGTTTTCGCTTGATGTAAATCCCCTTAAATCAACAAAATTTGATTGATCTTTCACCGAGACATCGACTAATTTTTACCTTATGGAACTAAGATTGAATTATGATAAATTTCCTAGTTATTTCTTGCAGTGTTTCATAATTCCAACAATTGAACTGGGAACAAATTACCAATTAAATGTCATATTTGCTCAAATGTTAAAGATGACACTTGGAACAACTGATAAAGACAATATGACACAATTTCAAAATCATACTATATTATTATCCTCGCCACTCATAAAAAGAGGACACACTCAGTTTCCCGAAAATAATAATATGTTCCTAAAATTTGGTAACACACATTTTATTGATCACATTTTGCTCCATTACATACAATCCAATACAATACACACACATTCAAATGACCAAAGTAAAAACACAATATCAATGTATCATTGAGATCGTTGTCTACGAAGCACCGCAAGTCCACATAAAATGAAATGAAAAATTGTTCGCAATTATAAAACCTTATAGAATATTTCAAAGAGTGCATCTAAACAAAACTTCTATTCCCAAATTAAGAAGTGATCGTATGATATAAGCAGATCCTCAGAAAGGATTCAAATTGGGTTCTAATCTCCCAGTATCAGGTAAAAAACTCATACAAAGTGCTTTAGTAGTTGGGCGTATTACTACTTCATGTTTACCAGCAGCTTGGAATGAATTGCACGAAAGATGTTAAATCATTAGGAAGTAGACAGAAAAAATTTGGAAATACATCAAATAATAAAAAAAAATTGGAAACATATCAAGTAATAAATATGAAAAGTTAGAGCTTTTTGTATGAAAAATGATAAAATTGTTTTACCTTTGGTTTGTAACAAAAGTGGCTAGCAACAAAGCCACCGAACATGATAGAAAGAAGCAAGAAATAAGCAAACAAATCTGGTGACCAACCAATCTCAGGGGGTCGTGCATGACGCATCGATGAAATGAAAGAATCGCGTACCCAACGGCCGTAACTGAACTGCCGAAATTTTTCCTCCGCTGCAATATTGTACACAACCACTGATTGATCAGCTAGATAATATTCAGGCCATGGTCCACGATCCAATAAAAACCGAAGAAAAACTGCAAGAGCACCGGCGGCAACTGCTGCAGAATGCGCTGAGCATAAATCTGAAAATGAGAAAAGCTAGCAAGAAGTATGTACTGACCCAATTTTCCCTCCCCTGCTTACGACAAGTTTCTTCTGTTTAATCAGTTAAAGCGCTACAACCAAAGAAAAGTGAAAGTAAATCCCGCCATTAAACCAGAAAAAAGTAATGGATTCGACGAAATTAAAAACTTCGTATTTTTAAATTTCTATTTCTCTTTCACAGCGGTAGAAAGTTTCGGAGCAGCAGCACCACTAGTAGATGCGAATCAGAATTTGTTCATTTGCTTTTAGCCTTTTTACACCACGGATAAATGAATTTTAAATGAACTCTAACAACGCAGTTTAGCTTTTCTCTAGATTCCAATATTTCAATTTAGCTAAAAACAATAACATCTTGCCAAAACAACTAAATACCGGGATCTAATCCATCAGTGTTATAAGACTTATTCACATCACCGAACATAACATCTGCTTTATCATTCGTGAAACAACCTGACGTAGGATTCTGCCAACTTAATATGGATGCAAGAAAATGAAGTGATGAAAGCTCAACGAAACCAAACTGGCCACATGTGAAAACTGAAATGCAACATTAAATAGAATTCGCAACATTTCACACTTATAAAAGGAAATCATTTTCCATCCATTTCTAAGATAAGTGCTAAAAAATATCATGGCAATGTCACGAGCTAACAAGTAACGGAACAAAAAAAATCAGCAAATTACAGTTTTGCTGATTGAATTATTTAGCATTATATGCACTGCAAATATAACTACTCAAATATAAACAAAATAAGATACCTCATAATATAACAATATTTAATAAATGGTTACTTTGTTCCATCAACATATCACGCTCATCATGATTAAGCCTAGCCATGATTCTTGGATTTCGTAACAAAATGCTCAATTCATCAATCATATTTGTGCAGTACTCTGTGATAAAGGATGTAATTGTTTGATTCCTTGTCAAAGCGATGAAGTTAGATAGAGTGAAATTGCAAGGAGTCTGAAATTCAGTACGTAGTACAAAATTTCAAAGCACACAGGAAAATAAACAGATAGATAAAATGGGATGGGACTGATTTCCTACTAGTAAAAAAAAAACCGACTATGATTTGTTTCGTAGGAAATGAATAAAAAAGAGGAAATACTTAAGCAATAAGTGAGAAGAAATGAACAACTGAATGGCTAGCATCCTTAACTTTTTTCAAGAAACCGAATGTTAATTATGCCCGAGAGGAATTTATGCCACTAGTAGGTTATATGTAGCATAGAATCTCCAGAATGTTCCAGTACGACATAGGAAAACTTCAAGGATGGTTCCACTTTTCTGATTTTCTTATTTGTGAGCAAAGAGAAGAAATAATGTTTAATGTCTAAAGAAATTTGAGTTGAAAATTTGAGTGAAGAAATTTGAGTTGAAAATATACTTGAAGAGCTACAGCAACATATAATATCTGATGTGTCAATTGATATTCTGTGAAACCACGCTGGTTAACCATTCGTTTCATGCAGTCAACACTTAAAACACAACTGTAAGGCTTTGCCGTCAAGTTAAAACTCGCCAGAAATAATTCATTGAAGCACCTGAAAAAAAAAGTGCCAAAAACAATTCGATGATAAGAAAGTTGTTGAACCTGTTTTGCAATTAGTGACATCCTTAACGATAAGTAGAACACAAAAAAACCAATGCAATAAAGTTATTTTTCAAAAACTTCCACCGTAAGAATGCATACATTGAAGGTGTGTACCCATTGAATATAAAATTATGTTGATATTGCTACAAAATATCCACAAGGCTTTTTATCTTCGTTCTTTTCACGCTTCAAGCCGAAAATTAGAATTAATTTTCCAAATATATAAAAAAACTACTACAAAAAAATATTTAAAAAAACAAACCTGCCATTTTGTTTTTCCGTAAGCAAAATAGGAGGAGGAGAAATTCTATCACTTTTGCTAGTTTTCAGTTGTTTCTCTTTCCATCTAAATCTTTCATCGGTACGTTGTGGTGTAAAATTGACCTTGTATGGACGATGGAGGAGAAACTGATACTAAAGAAAAAATTACTTGAATTCCTATCATAGATTTCATTTCAACATACATTTTCCCGCAATAATTCGTAAACACGTATGGTCCATTTGGTCAATATTAATGAAATGCCATCTTTTACCAAACCATGCGTATGCTAATTTTATGAGAACGATCGGCATTTTATACTTTACAAACTATTATTGTACAAACTACTTCTGGTCAGTTAATAAAAGATACAATCATTTGGTCAGTAATGGAGACAGCATAAAACTGAGAAAAGTGTATCCAACTCATATATGTAAAACAAATATCAAGTTATCAGAAAACAAGCAAAAATTCTAAACCTGATTAAAATATTCTCTATCTCGATTAGCAACAAATGGTAAAGCTTTATTTGCAATCATGCCAGCCATCAAACTTAGGTTACGTATTTCATTCATAATTTCAGAATCGATATCATGATCGTTCATATTTTCTTGTATGTTTTTCAAGTGACCTGTAATTTAGACAATATTAAAGAGGCATTAGAAACAGCCAATTCAAATGTAATTGACCAAGCACAAAAAAAAGAAAAAAAAGAAGTGAAAAATAAAGAAAATACAAATAATTCGATTTGTTGGACACCAGGCGATTAATATAGTACACTCTAACAGATTAACTTTATGAAATGGTTTTCTGAGAATAGCAAAAGACCTCTGCCCTCAGACCGCTCCATTTGGAAATTTTCAAGCATTTGTCGTTCTAATCATAACCTCGACAGTTACTTACAAAAAAGTTAACCTTCAATAATTCGTAAACCAAATAAACCATCAACACTGAGATCCTTGTAGTAACCATTGTAGTACTCTTCAAGTCCATATAAGGCATTTAGAACTAGAGCAATTAGTCGAGCACTATCCCAACTCCACTGCGTTGATACCATGGTCAAAATTTGCCTTTTACTTCATCCACATATGCTTAATCAATCCATAATTACATTTGAGCTGGAAATTAGCCCACAGGTCTAGACCATAAACCTAATGTTGTATGATGCAACTATAGCATCCTGGAACAGCAAAGTCATTGTAAATGATAGCATGCCGAATAAGAATACTGATACGCCTTTACAGATTAAAAAAATCAAACAAACAAAAGCCGAAAGATCTAACGTCAGAGGAAATTTATCGAAACTTCGGGATCTGAGTCATCAAGCAAACACAGATGAATTGCTATCACATCCGCTGGATAAGGAATTTGTCCAGTAAAAAAGACTAATCCATGCATTACCAAGAAAAAGATGAAAGAAAAAAGAACATAGTATATTTTTATTACGAACGCTGATCAAACTGAATAACAGCAAATACATTGTAACTTGTTACAATATCTTTCTGTGCTCTACAAGCTCTAATAAAAATCAATCGAAAAAGAAAACACAAAGCGAGTCTTAAACAAAGAATGAAGCCAGGCTTGACATGCATTTCCCTTGTAGAAATTGAAATGATTCCTTTGAAATGGGGTAATAAAAACTGAAACATGAAACAGTAACCAACGGATGAACACTGATAAATTATCAACAGCAATAACCGTGAACAATGATAACGACAATTGTGAGATCGTAATTTTAATGTTGCATTTCACTGCTTTCCTCAGCTCCACCAACCCACAATACATTGTTGCACCTGAAATGATTGAATTACCGCTTTAGAACATAAAATGCATGTTGCCATCATAGTCTCTTCACTCCGATGAGTATTGCGGGTGCTTTCAAACTTAGTCCCAACACAGAAAGTGAAAAGGAAGTCTTTGTGGTAAAGTAAGCACCGCGAAACTAGTTAAACAATGGATATTATAGAAATTAACTTTAAGCTATGGACTTCTCGAATGAATCCATTTCCCAGAAAATCTATTTAAGAAAACTCCTTTTTCAAAATAAGTTATCAAGGACTGATGTTTCTATAGCATAATCTAAAAAAAGTTAACCTGATCAAAACTTCGCCAACATCACCAGTATGTCGGCCATCAATATATTCTTCAGCGTTGGCTAGTTGCAGGTTCATGTAACCATCAACAGAAACAAGGTATCCTGAAGTCATTCTTTGTGCTATTTCGTTATACTGTTCAGTGATAAAGTTGTGCATTCTTTTATGCATTCAAGAATCAATCTGATATAGTACTAGGCCCATTATTGTTGCCTTCCTTGGAAAATATAAAATATGGCACCTGATTGATTCTATCACTTAATTTTATCACATACTTTTGTATCACATCAAAGCAGGATATTAATTAATGAGGAAAAATTAAATTCAATAATGGAAATTATTCATTTACCTTTATATTCCATACCCCATTTCAACTTGCATACAACTGGTTTACCCGTTAGTCCATTCAGGAACGGCTTCGGATTAACTGGTTGCAGTGTTGTCATCTTAATATCGTACTACCTGCAGAAGAGTCATTAGTATGAGCAATGCTTATTGCACTTAGATGTGTAATGCGTCGCTTCTGTAACTCAGTAGCTTTTTCTTTGGAATCCTATTTTATTTCGTACCAGAGGATAACCTATTCCTTTACTATATTCTCTTATACAATGTCCCTTTTTTTTATACCTTTCGATTTCCATTATATCCATAAGTTTTTATTGAACCTGTACTATACCCCATCAACTATCGCGTCTTCTGCACAGTTTTTGGATTTTAAATTTGAAATCGCGCACATTATCTCATCTCCTGGGTACTCCATTACCTCCTGGCATGACAATACCAATAAATTTGATCATCCTCTACCCGACTGATATCTCCAGTGTCACTTTCCAATTTCTATCACTTATATTCTGAATCTCAAGAGGAAAATTTTTAAACCTCCATCTTTACTTTCTACCATATTTTCCAGTCTAAGTTCCTATGTTTCTCCCATTAATATGAAGCATCTCATATATGTGCTCTTGGTAAGCTTTCACCGACTTATTTAGTATGACATCGATAGCAATACGACAATGTACAAAATGCTAACACTGTAAATTACTCAACCAATCAATTATATATTACAATACCACTATCATCGAATGCCTATGGTAAATCGTAATGGAAGTAACTATTATGATTAAAGGAAAAATAAACAAATAAAATGAAAATGGCAAAATAGTGCAATTTAACTGAAATTAATAAAATGACGGTAAGACTGGAACACAAAAACAAAAACGAATAACTGAACTTGCCCAGCTGCTAACCCACCTCACAATGATCTAAAAAAAAAACGAGTGGCATCTTGGCCACATGCAACAATGAACGAAATCAAATGTCCAAGAGCTTTGGGAATTGCATAATTATTTAGCAAATTTCATTAGAATGAATAATTTCGAAATGATATTATTGAATTATGGTATTAAATTTAAGCATAATTCACGCAAGGCTTTTCTGATATATATGTTAATCCAACTTATTATATAATATTAGTGATTGATAGGATGTGGAAGTTTTTCCAACTTGTTTGATTTTTTTTCACACATTTACAAGCTATATTACTAAGTTAACTTATGAACAAAAGTTCATCATTCGTTTTCGAAATAACTGATAAGAATTAATGTGACAAAGTCATCATAGTTACTATATCTAATATTCACTTGTAATAAGTAATATTGCTGAAATTGTAGCTTCGATAAGTTGATAATGAAAAAAAAAAAGTGTGCCTACGACAAATTAATAATGCTTAAATGCTTGTTATAGTTAAATAATGTAATAGAATGATCATTAATTTAGTACTTATTTTATTAGTTGATTTATTTTAAACCTAAATAATCAATAACTGTATTGAACGTTAAAATTGACTGAATCTTAATTATGGCTGCTGACGTCTCATCTCATAACGTTATGAATACAAAACTTGAAAGCCTACAATGAAATAAGCCATAATAATCTCTAAAGAATTACAAATAAAAGTTGATATATGATAAATACAAGTGAAAAATCAATGAAATATATGCAATTTTATTAACATTCATAATTTGTAATCGATTGGATTTCATTTCAACAACATTTCATCAATTCAGTAGTATAGCTTATTATAAATCATTTCATTTCATTTCATTTAAATATATCCATTATTGTTACTTTTCAAATAATATTCGCCAAATTTAGCAATACATAAATGTGTGTGTCTCGAAAAGTTATTAATGACCAAACATTCATTTGTGATAAGTAATATCGCTATTCTATTTTTGATAAGTTAATAATGCAAAAAGAAAAGAAAAGTGTATTTAGAACAAATTAATAATGCTTAAATGTGTACTTGTGATAAGTCAGTGATATTGTGATATCACTTGTGATAAGTTGTCCCTTATTTAAAACCATGTATGAATTGCTATAAATCAGTGTTTCCTAACCGTGATTTGCGAGGATGATAGCGCAATGAGTCAAAAATAGGTTGAGGTTGTTTTTATCAATATTTGATAAATTAATACATCCAAAATTTTGATTAGAGTTTACTTTTAAATTAACAGAATTGAATATTTTTGAACATCATAATTTTTGATATAAATAAAAAAGCAAAAAACCAAAATGGACATTGGTCAAGAAAAAATTAGGAACCATTGTTGTAAATATTTCGTTTTCAATTTTCTTATTTGCCATAATTACATGCATTACAGTCTAAGAACATTCTTTAGTCCCTGGAAAAATGTTTCATTTTTCTTTTTCTTTTTTAATATTAGTGTTATTCACACAAAAAACTCTTATTTTTTAATGTAAAGAGAAAATTTATATTTCATTTACTTTATTGTCAGTTCAATTCTAATTATATTAAGATGATTGATACAGTAATCGATGTGAAATTTTAGCTTCAACTTCAGACTGTAGCGCTTAGATGGTAAGAAATGCCACAGTAATCGATGTGAAATTTTAGCTTCAACTTCAGACTGTAGCGCTTAGATGGTAAGAAATGCCACGAAATAATCAAAATGAACAACAACTAAACATTTACAAACATTGAAAAACAAAAACAAAAAGATTGAAAGAGTAGAAAAAAAATTATTACCAAAAAGAAAAAAACCGCAATAACTGTAAATTTTAATCGATGAAATTGCTATGCAAAATTTTGATTATGGAAATGCATTTAACATTCAAATACATTTTTGACATTGAACTAAAAATAGCAGTCAAAATTTCATGAGATGATTGATTAAGCTTTTATCAATAAATGTATGGCAATTAGTTAGTGAAGGAATAATTTACGTAACTCGCATTTAGCAAAAGTTTCAGTGGATGTGTTTGTGTGTGTTTTTTTTACGTAGAATCAAATATACGTGAAAGTACACGCTGTTGTATTTTTGCAAATCGCAATCGTAGATTTCATTCATTTCATTTACACTGAAAACAATTAAAATACAATGTTGCATTTTTAGATTCGAAATATTTCGCGGTTAATAAATGAGAATGAATGCTAATAAAGCGCATTTCTCTAATATTCAATTAATCGATATATGAAAAGATATATTTAAAATCAGAAATCTATCAAAATGCAAAAATTTAATCACAAGAGAAGTATTTTAATATATATATTTTTTCAATATATAATTTAATTACGAGAGAAGTATTTTAATATATTTTAATATAAGAGAAGTATTTTAATCGAAGTATTTTTGTGTTTTAATCAAAACTATTTTGTGGTACATTACTCTTGATGACAGTCTTATTACATAATATTTCAAATGTGCAAAAAAACATTTAATATTAATACAAAATTTTAGGGAAAGAATAATAATGCATTAATGATTCATTGTAATAATGTAAGAATTCTCAAATAATTCCTGTAATGAGATTTGGAAGTCATTAGCTAATTAGTAATAAATAATTAGCAATGGTTGTTGACCATTTGCCGCAAAAAAGCCTGATGACATAACATTCATATCATCAATTCCGTTTCTAAAAATTATCTGGAAAACATATTCTAATTGCTATTTCATTGACATTTAATTCTTATTAGCCTTATACAGTATAACACATATATCAATACTGTATTTCGACACACAATAATCATCAAATGATTAGTAATAAATGAGTAATGGTAGGATAAATTAGAATTAATCTCATATATGATATCGCCGTTTTTCTTCAACCGTAACAAAAATTAAGGCTTCTTTCTGCCTCTTTGGGTAACAGTATCTGAAACTTGGGTAATTAAACCTTTATTAAGATAAATCTATTAATACAACAACGAACTTGCAATTACGACATCGATATAACAATTTAATGACGATGACACTAAGAACAAAGAAGACCAAATGATCCCGATATCAATCTCGACGAAATACATCTTTCTCGAACCGAGAGATCCTGATACAGCTCTGAGGTCAGATCTGTGATCACAATTACCGCCTTCACTAGAGCATATAGGCACAGTGGATGCGCAATACTATCTCATATTACACAGTTTATCTGCGCACCTAATACACTATATCAGCAGTATCAAAGCAATTATTGATTCATTGCTTTTCCTCGGTGATTTCAACAATATGTGGGTAATATAACTTTTACTTCTTCCTGTAATTTAGGAAGAGATTAGCTTCATTAGTAATAACTACCTTCAAAATCTTTAATTAGAAAATTCCTAATTAAAAACAAATTATAACAACTATTTGTTAAAATTGAAAGGAATAACAAGTGAAAAGATAATTATAAGCTATTATATTACTTTTATACTACTGGATCGATATTCAGGAAGTATTATAGTGAATGATGGATGATAACGTGAGATTGTAAATTACAACAAGCAGTCTTACCATCATTAATTTTAGTTTCTTTTTCAAAAATATTAATTAATATCATTAATTACCAATAAAGAAATTAATACCAATAACTTTTTACATCTTCATTGAAGCGATATTTACACGATTATTTGTTACTGTACATTTGACCGTTGTGTTCACATCAATTTTCACTATTTTTGTGCGTAAATCCCTTGTATTCGTACGAAAGGTTGCCACATTTTGTTTCATCAACAAACGGCGATTGAAGTATAAGAATGCCAAACTGAAGCTGACATTTGATAAAAAAAAAAAAATTATTACCTATTTTCTTGTTGAGAAAGTTTACTGCATTTAGGGGAACATTGATTAATGAAATTTTAAATGGTTCAAAAATGAATTGAGGTTTGATAGACAAGAAAGACCTAAAAAATGGATAGAATTTGATGATTAATGTTGCGTAACTTTAACTTTTAACTTTACTAAAACCATAAGATACGGTTTATATTTGATATTTTAAATAATTCTCACCCATCTGATGCAAACATTGCAAGCCATGTGTATATAATTTTACTGAAACGTGACATAGGTAGTTCAATACGAAAAATAATTACAAAAAATGCATATATGATAGTACTGATACAGGTCTGAAATTGATTCTATCGAAAAATATGAAACCATTATGTATTGCTATCCGATATTATCAATCAAAAGAAAATATAAAACTTGAAACTTAACTGAATTGTATCGTTTCGTTTGCAACTTCCACTAATTTTGACGTATTTCATTTTTTCTTTTCTCTTTTTTTTAATAAGAAATTATATTGAATCGTTTTTTTTTTATAAGAAATAATATTGAAAATCACAAATTCACAATTAGTATGTCGAAAAATTCGATTTATTTTTACCTCTTTGAAAAATATGATTTCTTTCTTTATTCTATGTTGTGTTCCATGAGCTTCCTGACGATTTTTATCCTACAATTATACTTAATACAAATTATGTAATAATATTTGGTACAAATAAAATCTCCCATCAGGTGGATGAATTTTTTTTGAAATAAATCCAAGCAATATTGGTCAAAAAATTCGAGCTGCTAAATTTTTCGATTGCATAACTTGAGAATGTAAAATTGAAACATACTTTTAAATAAACAATGATACGATAAAAAGCTATGGCATCGATGATAATGGTGATAATAACGATACCATCGGACAGAAACATAGCAATATAAGCGAAGAAAGTGTGATCACATGGTCCATAGAGGGTTGACCATGAATGAATATCTGATTCGAAGTATGCCACGCATTCAACTGTCAAGTTAAAATTTTCGAATTCGGATAATGTTAAAGTTATCATAAATATAACTTATGCTCTGTCCACAACTATTGAAAAAAAAAGAAGACAATTTGAATTATGCTAAAAACAAATACCGTTATAATACAAAGCAGTGATTAGCATAGTGAATGACCATAGCGATACGACTATTATCCAAGCATTTCTCGGATTAAAGATGCGGGGATATATTATCGGTGATGAAATTGCCAAAAGACGATTGATTGCCAGAGCAAAATGCATCCAAATGGCAGCATATAATGTTGAATTGGCAAGGGGAGATACTATTCGACAGAAGATAACCCATGGAAATGATATTGATCCCAAGTTTCTGATAAATTTCATGTAGCTTATAGTGTGAGCATAAATAAGAAGAAAAAGTGCAGGAGATCGGACAGAGAAGGAAAACTATATTGGGTTAGAAGAATTTAC